GCAAAACAATTAGACAAGATTTGGTGCTCAACTTCTTTTAGGACATTTATAGCAGCTATGGCCTGGATGTTTATAGTGTGATGACTACAATCGAAGTAAAATCAGTTTTGATTTACACAACGATAGATTCCTTTCAAGACAATATTCATCACGGACTGACATGAGTTGGAGGAAAGCTGAGAATCCCGAGGCATTAGCTAGCTGTTTTGTCGTATCTATGGTCCTCTAAGAAGTGCCCACCCATTGTTATAGAAGCCCTACCCGTTGGGTCCCCTGTGACGTACTCACCGCGAAACGTGTCAGCTATGTATCTGACTCCAATTGGGGTCATGGGTGGGACTTCTGAGAAGCCTCATGATTGGGTGAAATAGGTATTTAGTGCTCCCAAGTTTCTAATGTCTCTTCAAGTGATGTCAGTCGGTGACGAATAATACCCTGAAATAAAATCAGTTTCATACACAGACCATTTACAACAGTAAAATGTACACTGAACTTATATCAAACAGTCTTCAAATTCTTAGACTCTAGTGAAATCTTTTGCAGTTGATGTCTTCAGTCGATTTCCAACTCTATCGTTACGTTAATAATGAGTAAGCTTTTCACGATTGCCACTCTATTCAATGTGACTAATATTGTCCATTGTTTTTGTAAGTGGACACACTCACAGTGCAAACTTTGACTTCATCATGGAACTGACCAACCTGTTTTCTACTAATTAGTTAGGGAATATGACAGAACTATTATTCCACTTTGTAATGTATATATGCTTATTTATAGCCATCTCCATTATTAGGTGGTCAGCCAACAGCTAAAATCCATGGATTACCATATCTACACAAATTTTCCAAGTTTTACATGAACTGATTGACAGAAGTCACTAACGTTTTTACCATCTCCTCAGGTGACTATTGAAAAATCCAATCGAAGCTCAGTTCTTCTTCATTCTTTGTTGCGTATTTAAAGTCGACAATGAAGTAACCGTGGATCAATGTTACACCCTCCAGACGAACAGTTGAAAAACAGGTTGTGATTGATTTTTATGATACCAGTATTCAACAAATTAGTTTGGAACCTTCCATTGAGCAGGAATCTCATCAGAAATCAAGTTTCAATGGTAAGTATTGAGAATCAAATATCCCAAATGAATAGCTTACCGATAAAATACTTTGAGCACCAAGTACTCTACCATTCAATGATAGATGGCATATCTGGAGAATGGTGCTTTATGATATTATGGTTGATGATGTCACTGAGACTAACGACGAAATATCACAGTTCACTGAACATCAAACCATCTTCACCCTTGTTCTTAGCGACAAATCCTTTTCATTGTTTCAAGACATGATGTACTTTATTCAAAAAAAACTGGCTACAGAAGTAAGCCAAAGTAAATAGGAAAAGTAAACAGTAAAGTAATATTCAGGATAAGTGACCAATTGTTCAAATGCATAATTTTAACTAACCGAGGTACATCAAAAAACTGAGTAAAATAAAGATACGTAGTGGTATTCAAGAAGGTCAAGCAGACCACTCTACTGCGTAGAGGATAGATGAACCATGAAAACTAACGATATCTGAACTGACCGTCTTCCTGTCTACTTACAGATATGCAACACAGAGCAAAATGGAGAACATGAAGGATACGGAGCTGATTGTAGTTTGCTGTTTTTTTAATTATCTACGAATCGCTATTACCAAGAATTCACACATCTCTGCATTTCGCTTATCTGCTGAAATTGTTTGAAGATGACGATTAAATGGCAATATTTTAAGTATTATCCTACTTTTTGAAAACAGCAAAATTAGCAATGTGCTGGGTGATTTTCCCAACTAATCTTTGATATTTGAGTTGTTCAAGTCATATATCAGAAAAATCAAAGCTTGGTACTTGTAAGCACTTTTCAATTACGCTTGATTTTTCGACAAACCTTAAGTTATATACTCTTCTACATGAGTTTTTTGTGTTCTACTTAAGACAAGACATATATCAATGAATAAGAAATATTTCTTTTCAACTAATTCATTATCAAGCTGTACAGATGTATTTATAATCAGTAAACTGTTAAATAACTGCACTGAAATGTTGCTCAGTCATTATGCGAAATATACAATAGGTGTCGGTGGTCGTATTTGTTTAAGTGGAAGAACTAGAAAATGGGTCACTAAATAAGGAACGAATTGATAACAAATGGTGAGATAAAAGACATTTATCTGTCATTTTATCGAGTATAAACACGACTGTACAGCTTGATAATGAAGTAGTTGAAAAGAAACATTTCTTCACTGATACATATCTTGATCTGATTCATGAATAAGTGGGTATACTTTTACAGTTTTATTTCAAACTGTCTTGTAAACCCATAATATATCGAGTGTTTAATTTGGATGCCTTACTGTTTAACTTCTAATGTGACCATAGTAGAGCACCATCAACGTTATTGGTTATCGTTACGGATCTTCACAAATTCTTGTTATCCTTCAGCATACATAAATATTGTTTGTTATTAGGCAGTGCTATGAAGTGGTCTTAGTCAACCGAACAAGTCGCCTTCGTAACTGCAAATTGAAGGATCAGGTTAGTGTTTCAACATTATGTTTATTCTCACAATTATAGTTAAACAGTAAGAATCATGTTGCATGGACACAACCTTGAGATCCTTTAACTTTCTCAAATATAACAGTGAAAATATGACTACACTTCCTCAGTGAATTCGTCATGTTTCTTCAGAATATAAAACAGTCCTATTCGAGCAAAGATTATTTAGTGAAAGTTGTAGCGGTAGATGCAAAATAGAAATAAGAATTTAACTGTTCCAGTAAAACAAGTTGTATAGGCCTCACAAACCTCACATTTTTCAAACATATCTCTCAACCCTATCCTATATGGTTGTATAGGAGAGAATGTAAACCAATTAGAAGTTCATTTCCTGAACATTTAGTCATCTCTGAACAGATAACTCCATAACGGTTTTTCTTCAGTGTCAGTTACAGAGTCAAAAAGAAAAGCTCAAAATTAGTACCTTTTCGACAGTTGTGAATAGGAGAAGTACTGTCATTTTTCTGATCCAAGCCTGATCTCTGCATACAGAAGAAGCATATTGAATCTCATATCTTACTATACATAGTCTTAACACTTTCACAATACTTTAGAGTTCATTATCACTAGTTAGTTTACTGTTGCCACTTTTACTATGACCTTTGTGTCCTTCTTCACCTTCTTTACATCCATCTTTCAAGTGAACAATTAGCTGCCGCATTTCATATCTACCAACAATTTCTCTCTTTGTCAAACTCTTTGCCTTTCTCTTTATCTGCAGTGTCTGAAAGATTATTATCCAACTATTTTCCATTCTTAATTTCAGTTTTTAGCACTAGCTGAATGATGCAACTATAACCTACTGTTCGATGCTTGAATGTCAAATGTTTGTGATTGTTCAGCTTTAGAAATTGACATCATCGGAAGTGAAAAAAAGTTTAGTCACTGAATTATCTCTTCTTTATGAGTCGACAGGCATATTTCTTAGTCCAAAGTAGAATATGCTGAGCTTCTATGATTAAGAAATAGGCAATGATAATTGCCTGATTCGAATACTATTTCAAAAATACTTATGCTTATCTACATACTGAGCATGTCTCTTAGTTTGTGACTCTTGAAGTCGAAGTTCTTGCAATTTTAGCACCTCATTCAACTCTTAGTCTCTGAATCTGTAGGGATAAAGACAAGAAATACTGACAGAGCATTTGTTTTCTAGGTACTCTAAACATTTACATAAAAGTTAACGTGTTACATACTACTATACAGCAGTCTGTCGATCGTGGGTTAAAAATCCTGTAACCGTTTTGCTCTCCACACATGAACCTGTCTTCCATGAGTGTACCAACATCAGCTTTTTCTGAATGTCATCGATGCTTAGCGGTAGTTTCATCCTGTGATCTATCATACTCTTCTGCTATAGATCGACATCTCTGATCTGGTTTAGGTGTTCCGCAATGAAACGTCAGTTAATATAAAAGTCAGACAGCTGTAGAGCTTCTCATTTATCAACAGTGTTTACGTGGACAATGTAATTTATCGAATCTGTTTACTCAGCTTGAAGATTTATAAATCAAACTGTTTGATTTTTCAGAGTTCTTAAGCATATTTAACTCAGCTACAGTAGGTAATACTAAGGAGGTTGCCATTCGGATAGTCCAATCACACTTTTTGTGCAAGTAGCCTTTCAAAGGAGATCTCACTGGAGACGCCAGCAGCAAATGCAGAATCATGTAGTCTGTCCTGAAATCTTTCACTTCAGACTGATCTCTTTTAGAAAATGAAACAGTCAGACAGTATTTTCCCTCACTGTATCAACTCATCCCTGATGACATTACCTCAGAAATATCAGCTTTAATTTAAATGAATTCTTGAAAATCTTTCCTCTGTGATGTGATCCATTAAGATGGACTTTAAATGATTAGTGAGGTATCATCTGTTTCTGAAGAGATAAGAGAATGAAGAACTGATCAGAGTCCTAAGTTGGTTGCTTGCAATGTCATCAGATCAAAATGTTTCATAAATGTTTTTAAAGTAAAGCACTGGTGGATTTATTCAACGCTTCAATTAACTGTTTTTTAATCTGTTATCTACTAACAAAAATTAATTGTAAGCCAGATATACATTTGTGTTTGTCAAATGTACTAAAGCAATATATATTATACATTATTGTATCTCAGTATAAAGTCATTATGCGATTAATATTTTGCATACACTTTTAACTATTAATGAATAAGCAACGTGCAAAGGTCATTGGTATTAAACTGCATACAAAACCTGATTATAAACTTATTATAATAAACTCTTAAATAACTTTAAGTAATTGATAGATGACATGTTTTAACATGTAGGTCACTTTTTCTGGAAATTGAATGGTCTGATTCGGGTAAGTCAGTTCATATATATATATATATATATATATATATATATATATATCGTATACCATCAAAATTTCAGTTGCTGTACAATGGGCTTATGTGTTCAGGCCACTGTTTTCTGCATTTTATTACCTGGCATTTATCAAGTTACTTGTCAAACAGGTGGGCTAAACAGTTGATTCTTTTATATTAGTATTCCTATTTCGGGGATTATTTTACGAATATCTAGATACATAGTATTATAATTATTTGTCCTTTGGGTTCCTAGTGGAATATATGGCTTCAGTAGCAAGTCACAATTTCACTTTCTTCTCTCCAGTATGTCGAAACAGCTTCCACGACTGCCAACAAGACTTCATTTCTTCCTCACACGACCTCCTCCGCGTCACCCTCAACTCGGACACCCAACTCGTCGTTTCCCATCTGGCTTCCACTCGATGTCCTGGCCTGGTGCGTGATGTCACCGAACAGCCTTCTCACTGTATATTCAATCCAACCCATCTCAACACTGTCTCTTCCTCTGCATATTTGTTTGGAGGAGGGTTGTTGGTCGGTTGGTTCGTTGTCAGCCAGCCAGCCAGTCAGCCAGTTAGCCAGCCAGTTAGCCAGCCAGCCAGCCAGCCAGCCAGCCAGAGTTCCTTGTTGTTTATTCTCATTATTATGACTATCCATCTCATCGATCTTCAGTATCGAGTGAGCGTAGGTGGCAGCTGTTCATGTATGTCTCCAGTTTGTTGGAAATGCTTTTCGTTACACGTCAACTCCCTCAACCATCAACCATCACCAAGCACTGACTTGACTGAATTGGTGTTGAAAATTTGGATCTTGTCCACACTGCATGCTGAGTGTAGTGTAGAGTAGTGTAATGTAGTGCAGTGTAGTGCAGTAGATTCGCACACTGATTTCAGGTTGATGAAGGCCTGTCGTGATGTTGTCCAGATCCTCATGTGACGTGCTCATCTGTGCCAGTGTCACGCGTGGTTGAAATGATGCTGTCTTGCCTGTCGGTTGTGTTTGTTCATCACCTCTATTTTCTCCACTTTGATCTGAAGCGAGTCCCATCTTCGTCGCCCCGCCTCACCTCACCTCGCCTCGCCTTGCCTCGCCTCCCCTCTTCTGCCAGCTTGTTACTTTTGGCCTGCACAGCTTCCAGTTTGTGCTACACCAGACACTAGACATAAATTATCATCGTTGACGAAATCTAAATCTTCTAGGGTATTTGTCTTTTCATCGGTCGAACAGCGTATGCGCATCTTCTTGCTCATCATATTTTCTTGAATAATTTAGTCTAGTTGAGTCGACCACAATCAGGGGAATGATTGGTGATAGTAGGTGGCAATTTGTTTTACTTTTGTCTTCATTTGAAAGACGTGACTGAGCTGAGCTTTGCATTGTGAATCACTTGGTATGTAGCCTCGTGTATATTATGTAGTTGCTGAATGAATTTGATGAAGGTTTGTGACATTAAAACTGTAGTGTTGATGTAGATGCCAAATTACTTTTCGATTGACGCAGTCAATGCACAGTGTTCATCGCAAAATGATGTGAAATAATGATGTTAATAATTATTATTATCATCGCCTTATCTCAACCAATATATAGGACGCAGTATGCACTTCACAACATGTGATATTTCAACAAATCCATCCCATGTACAGTGTTTTTAGGCAAGATAATATTGGTAATAGTAATTGTGTCAGTAATAACAGTATTAAAAGCACTAATGTAAAACAGGCACCTAGGGTTATATTACTGTCTGGTATGGACTGGAAAATGAATGCAAATTCTAACTCACTCTTCATGGTGGCAGTTGATTAAGCCAGTACATTAATCTGCAATTTGATATACTAACCCTTTGAGTAGTAATATACTTTTGTGTATTTATGAATCCATTTCCATTCCATGTAACGTTTTTTCCTTGTTTCTTACTCAGCTTTAGAAACGCCAGTTTGAACACATTTTAAAAATTTTCGAGAGTAAATGATTCGGTGAGAACACATATTTTGACGATTGAAACAAATTGAATCAGAAGAACCGCTTACTAATGATGAATAATGGCTAGCAAAGAAATCCAGGATGTGCATTTCGTCATAGCTGAGATTCGTCAGCTGGATGCACGTGTTTCCCAGCGGGAGATGTTCTTCCCAGTAGTACTGAAACTAGGGACCGATTGCTTCAAACAGCAGAGCGTTATCTAGTAGACCGCCGATTCGCGATACTGATGACACAGACCGGTAAATTTAGGTCACTTAACGGCGAGGCAATAGAAGCAGCAATATTAAAGCTATACCTATGGTACAAGAAGTAGCTATCGTGACTCGGTGGTCTAGTGAATAACGTTGTTGCTTTCAAATCAGTCATTCATGAGACCGAGTCCTGATGAGAAAAACAGCCCACTTGGAGGTAGGTACATCCAGCTGACGAGTCTGAAATCAGAATAAATACGCGTCCTGGTCTACACTTTTAGTCACCACCCATCAATAATGTATAATTCGCACACAGGTAATATTAAGGCATCCGTGCAGGAGCCCGTACGCTAATACAGACTGGTCCATTTAGCGGTGGGATAATACAAGCAATGAAACGAAAGATAAGAATTTGATGAAATACGTCGGGTGAAAACGTTCTAGTAGCTCGGGGTTTAGGAAGGGTGTCTGATAAAGACCAACATGCTGGTTTACAGAAGTTAGGGAAAATGGATAACTAGATTTCAACTAAGCAGGTTTTAGTAACATGAGAGTCAAGCAACCTAATGAAATCGAGCTCAGTTTCGCACGAGATAGTTTGTAGACTGCCGAAAAGCCTCACGTTGGAATGATATGCATATCTAATGCTTGTTAGTCCTTATTGATCCTCCTTTTGATCATAATTCATGATAAAGTTCGTTTATTCTCTTCGAACATCCCGAATCAACAGATTACACTTAATTTACTTATCATAGAAAAACTGCAAAGGCTAGGAGGAAACTGAAAGATCTTCACTTAACACACTTATGTTTCCATCTGGTTACGGGTAGTTATAGACCAAATAGAAGCTGTATCGTCTTAATTCTAACTGTTCCGCTATTTCGACTGTCATGAGAAGTGGCAGTAGTGCATAATCATCATAACCCTCGTAAGGCAAAACGACTCAAAGGACCGACGACAAAGCCAAGAACATATATATTTTCACAGCATAGTGTTTTGAAAGTCCTCAGACTGTGAATGCACTAATATATCCATCAGTTTTATAATTAAAACACTGAAGAATACTTGTGAAGTAAAAACTAGCTTAAAATGGGCCGGTCTACAAATCTGGATGCATGAGCTGAATTTGTCTGGACACATGGCTGATGTGATCGGTCTGGAACTAGCGAAACAGCTATCCGGCGCTTAGATCACCCTGATATAACCACCAAAATACTACAGATCACCCTGATCAGCTTCTAAATATTTTATTTATACAGTGGTGGTGTAAGAAGATGGCAAAGGATGAAATGCGGAAGAATGTTTGTGAAGACATTTTGTACATTACTAATGAAATATGCTAACATTTCCATCGAAATATTTATTTGTACGATGTCTTTCTTCTCCCCTTCTTTTTCTTATACCTCATTTTACTCTTATACGCCGACGCTGTGTCTTATGTTACTCTATGTAGAATAGTTTTTCTATCGCTCTTAATTACCTATAACTTCCACCCACCTCTCACTACATACTACTTATATCCATTCCTATCAGTAACATACACTACAGTAGCATCTTAAAAATAGCTTCGCATATACGAAGTCAATATGTCTAAAATTCACTTTCACTCTTATTGTGCCTAGATTCACAGTTATAAATGTAAGTTTTATTATCCACTGCGTAGCTAACACTCCGTCTTTTATCTTTGATTGACTTCCTGGTAAGATTTGTAATACATATTTTCCTTGTATGTTTAGTTGATACTTGTTTAGAATTTTTTTGTGTACAGATGATAGTCTTGCCGAATTGATGCTAACACTCATTATTTTTGTCATGTTTTTGTATTCCTAGCAAAAAATGAAAGTAATTGTTCAGAGTTAGGCGAATTCTGTGACAAGACAATCTTCAATCGTTGTTGTCGTGACTTGGTTTGCGAATTGAAAGGATTTGCAAATGGAACATGCGTTGAATGCCTTGGTTTGAAATATGCTTGTCTAAGGAATTCAGATTGCTGTAGTAAATTCTGTCATTTATTTCGGTGCAGAGAAAGACAAGTAGAGTGGAGAAAGTAATCCATATATCATTGAATGTGATTTTAATAAGATTTCATCATAGTGAGGTAAACATTTACCATATTCGCTTTAATAAGTAAATACATTTTTAAGAACTCAGTGAAATTTTCACATGAATCATTGTACCGTGCCTTCAAGTAGAGTATGAACTTCGAAGTGAAACCAACGCTGTTACATTGAAGTTATTATGAATACTTCAAGTTAATGCCACCCCTAAACCACCTCCAGTTAACAGAATAAGTGGTACTGAGGTATTAGGTAAAAAATATTAGGGTCTTGACCAGTGTAAAACGTTATTTTCTGTAATGTGAACTAACGATAGCATAAGAAAACACTAAAGATTTGCATGTATAGATCTTAAAGTGATTTCACTGCAATATTTTGGAAGTAAGATGTCCAAAGATAAAAGAAAAACATTTACCAAAAACAGAAATCAACAGAAAATAAACCCTTCAAATCTGTGGATGAAAACATAAGTACCTGAACAGTAAAGTCATCTATCCATCAATAAATCGCTAGGATTTCAGATTATGTTATTCCTCGAGGACACTGGCTGTCATAGGATTGTTCTGGACAGTAGATATATTAGTGAACGGTACCTACGTCAACCAAAAGTAGGCAAAATGAAAGTCTTAAATAACAAATCTTCTTAGAAATATTTTCAAATGATAATAACATAAACAAAAGATTGTGTGTTTTCACCTTTGCAAAGATGCGTGCAAGATTCTGGAAGGCATCATTTTGTTAGGCAGATAAGCATGTGAAGATGTTCCATTTTCCCGTTTAATCTTACTACTCAAACACTACTGGATTGTATTTCCCACTAAAAATCTAATGAGAGTTAAACTGTCTCAACAGTGAATTATGAAAAAGATCAAGTCCTTCGGACTAATATGTCTGGTGAAGCAAACCCGTACTGAAATAATATCATCCAATATTTAGGAATATCTTCACTATATATCATTTAATTTCAGTTAAACTACATAGAATTATTTATGTTGGAGGAGAATACATACAAAAGTAGGTCATCCTTAAGTGATTCGTCGATTCAACTGCATCTCCCAGAATTATGATACTTCTCCAAATGATATCACTCTGTCATGAATACAGCCTGAAAATCAGGTCAAAGAACACAACACCGTTAAAATCTCCTTCCATAATACAAATATTCTCCAACAGATTTTTACATTTTTTGATAATATACTGGAAGCTAGATTACAACTGGCTTATCTCAACTCTAAGATCTGCAGCTATACCAATACCTCAAATAAATATTATAATCCATCAATGGACAACAACCAATTTCATTTTTTCTACTTATAAGTGGTAATGGGATTCTACAGATCATTTCTCAGTGTAAGCTGCTGGCTAGGAAACTGACTATCATGAAACTAGCCTCCAAGGCTTTCTGTCAGTTTGCTTCAACCACACTATAGAGATAGAAGCTGAACACGATAATGAGTCAGCTAGCTTGACAACAGAACTCTAAGATGATTGTAAGGAGTATGAGTTACGAAATTGGTTGCGCTTCAGTCCTGTCTTAAACGTGGTCAGTCACAACTGCGATACCTTGATTTCAGCGTCTGCGACAGACACAGTGAGTGATGAGTTTGGATATGTAAGAGGAAATTACCAACAAGTGTGAGAGATAGGACGAACTGATTGCCTCCAATCAGATAACATATTGATAAAATGTACAGAACCACCGTTTCTCCACATTTAGTAACTAGCGAAACAATCAAGGATTAGTTCACTTCTTCGAAAAGCAATTTATTCATAAAGCCCAGTTTGTTTGCAAATACGAGATATGATGATGATAATAATGTGAGTAGAAATTATGCTGAGGTGTGATGAATAGAAGGATTCAACTCGTACATGCTAATATCAGACTGAAGACCTTCAGATTCAGGGAAATAAGTTCATAGCAAAAACGTATTTTGATATTCCTGTGATGCGTCAATCTGACTACTAAATTGAATTCCTTTTAACAAATAATAAATGTGAATGAGGATATCTGAATAAAGAGAGGACAGAAAAGAGAGAACGACCTACAACATACAACCTACAACATGTATCATTTTAGTATGTAACAAAAGTGTTTCAGAAAGTGCATAAGAATAGTAGAAAACTATCAATAACAAATTATCTTTGTTACATAATCCGTCACCTTTAGGTGACCTGTTCTCTCAACTGCATCTACCAGGATTTTAATGGTTCTCCATATGATATCACTCCGTCATGAATACTGACTCGAAATAAGGGAAATACTTGTGCTAATTTTAACTCACACATTACTTTCCTCTCATCTGAAGACTAAACTTACTTCCTTGTTTTCGTTGCCATACATTTAAATGATGATTAATACATGAGTATTTAGTTGTCAAGTACTGTCGTTCACTGACTTAACAGATTCTTCAGATTAGGTGGATTGAAAAAGTGAATTAAATAAACCGCTAAACAAAGTGATGCTACCACTTCCAATAAGTCAATTAAAACACGACACGTTCGTTATCTTTGTCTACTTAGTGGCTAGCAATGAAAATCAGGAGTCGGTTTCTCATAAGCATAATATCAACCTCAAGTTGCTCACATATGAGGTAATTCTGAGGTCAATGTAAGTCAAATCAGGGAAACTGGTGTATGAAACCTTTCCGACTCTACCGAATATTCTACAAGGATTATTAATTTCAGGCATCAAATTTAAGTATTCCATTCCAATGCGTAATTGAATAACTTCAAATACTTAGTTAACAAGTAACGATTCAAAGTAGCAGTATGAAGTCAGTGTCACTGGTAGAGAAGAAATTCAATCCATGTAGTCATGTTAATCCTCACGATACCTGAGCTTTTCAAACAGACATCTGATCGCATAGATGCACAATGGATTCATTCATGGCTTCAATAAGTGAATTAATTGAATTGATCCAACAAATCACAGCAGCAGATATTCAAATTCATTAGTAGAAAAACAAATCTTCAGCATAACTTACTACTGTAAGTTGAGTACTAATAGGAGCCTTGAAATGAGTCAATGTTGGCTACAAGGATATTTGGACTGTATGGAAAATGGGGTAGAAAATAGAGGTCTGTCTCATAGAATTCACTTCTGATATCAATAAAGCAATTAGGTACTCAGAATTCTTTTCAACTCACATTTGACCACCCTTAGTGAATGATTTGAAAGCTACTATATTTCACTCATTTGTTGAATTGGTGACTACATGTATGAATAGATTACTTGATGTGTCATCAACAAATATGCTACATATTTCAAACAAGTAAAATTTTGTAGTTATCCTGATGTAGACAACTTTTGTTCGTGAGTTTCACTTCATCTTTCCTACCTTAATCAAGTTGCAAAACATACATGCCTCATGTTGAGATTATCATAGATCAAATCGTCATTCATGTGCCTATCTTCTCACTGTTTCAACGTCAATATAACACGAAAACTAAAATCATTCACTCATATTTGACTGTCACGTTTATTATTGAGGTTATAATTAAGTTGAAGTATGATTAGTGTGTATGAAAGAGTGATTTCACAAATCATAGCTTAAACGGTTTGATCAGAGATAATTGAGTTAAAGCTCTACTGACTGTGAATGAATGAGGAAGACGATAAATTTGTTTGTTGCTGTTCCCTTTGAATTGTTCAACAGTAGACAGGCATGTTTAAAGCACATCATATTTATATTGTAGCTGACCAGTAACAACACAACTGATTAACACTGTCTCCTCAACAGACTTGCAAACCGTACTGCTACCTGTCAGTAGACAAATCATATCATTATAAAACTTTGAGAAATAGAGGCACACATACATGTAGCTGGTCTATCATTTGATGTCTATCAGTTCAGTACATGCATGAGGACAGTGGGAAATTCTTGATAACAAGTCATCTTTGTTGCATAATGGATAATTGTTACAACTCAAAATGTCAATCCCCTGGAAATATCAGGCACCGAAATTTGATCTGATGTGATTGATTAGGCCAAGCATTGTGGTCTGTGAGAGAAACTCATTTGCATAACCCCATCAGGTGTGAAAGTAAAATTTTCAACATTTGGCAGTCTCGCACAAGACTCTACTTCGAGTGACTACACCTGTAGTAGCTGTCATGTGTTCAAGTAGTAAATGCAGGAAACATGAATGCATTAGCAAGAGAACAAGGCTTTGTACTACAATCATAAATGACCTGTCAGGGAGATCATGGTGGCGATGTTAAATGTTGACGAATATGAACTGACAAAGAAGTCAACCTACTGACCACTGAAAAGACTGAGTCGACTGGAAAGTTAGTTATTTCATAAAAAACGTACTTGATTCCCCAATTCATCAACTCTTGGAGTAGCATTTAGAATTCTCCAAATATGTGTGAATATATAATGCGTTGTCGGTGTGTGTGTGTGTGTATGTGTGCGCTGAAACTGGTGTCGATGAGAAATTCATTCTTGTGTCTGTGTAGATGTTTACTTTTCAAGTGGATGTAATTAAGATTTGTATGAATGACTTTTCAACAGTATATCGTCAACGTTGCTACAGAAACGTTAATCATGAGTGGATTAGGTCTCAACATATCAAAAAATGCTCGAACCATCTGTGAATCGCTGCAGTCAGAAAATACTTTCTCACCAGTCTCAATATTTCACTATGAATTCTGTAGATAATGAAGAAATAATGCACCATTCTTCAGGATTTCACTATAGAATCTTAGACTTCAGCATGATTATTTGTAGATACCTCCGGTCAGAGTGTATATGCTTTCAAGTGATTGATGATTTCGTGCAATGATTCACCAATGTAAGGAGCAGCATAGTCAACACAATTCAATCCCGCCATTCCGTTTTCTGAGGGGTTTACACGCAGCGTGAACGAAAATATTTCTGTGAGTATTGTCTATATTCTAGAAAGATCCAGTCAGTCATTTCATTAAACTTCTGATTCCTTATCACACCCCAAACAAAAGGCAGCATCATTCTGCATTGTTTGATTACCCA